ATGTTCCCAAGGATCACAAATGGCTTAACCATCAAATGAGTTATCTCTTAGGCCTTGCAAGACAAAATTCTTGATATTGAATGTCACTGAATACGCCGGTCGGTTGGAATCCTCATGAAGTTTGATCAACATCAGTATGCCTACAATAATTCCCAAATGTATGTCGGGGTAGATTTTCCATTTTAGCTTCCTCTTTCAACTGATGTTCAGCTAACAACACTTCAATCTTTTCTTTTCTGAGTATTCTTGTAGTTCTCTCTATTTCTAAATCCAATGGCAGAAGCGTCAAATTTGAATCTCACATAAACATAGAAAACAATAACTTAGTAGTACTGTTCAACGCAGAACAGAGTGAATAATCAAATTAATAGAATTGAAATTAACAAAAATTAAAAGTACACAAAATAAAATAATTCGCACACTATGCCTACTTTGAAAATATCAATATTCCTCCACAACAACGCCAAAAACCTGGTGACAAAATTACTAGCAAGTGAACTAGTATTGTTATAAAAGTAATAAAAATTGGATTCGTCTCCACAAGGATTGTGAATTTTAAACAATAAATAATATGCGATATAATTTAAACAATAACAGAGGGATTTGTAAGATTGTTTTGGTCAAAAACGCAAGAAAAAAGTTTTAAAATGATAATGAGAAAAATGGCCAGGTCGTCTTATCAGAATCCCCTATTTCTACTTGATTGATGAAACACACGTTAACAGACATGCACTGACTACAGAGTTAAACGATGGGCTAAGTATACCACTACACCTAATCCATTAGCTTATAACTCACTAATCTAGGCGTTAACTCCCCAATTCCTCAGGCCAATTATTCTGTCAAATTAGGCAACAAAGCGCGTTAATCCCTTAGCCATAACTCCTAATCATACTATTCATAGTCAATTAGAGAACTCAACAGTTAAAGTAGTTAATATAGATAGCCCTAGGGTCCGTAGTAACTATTTATTAATATTAATTTGAACGTCGTAACAATAAAAAAGCAATGTGCATAATCATTAGCTGAATAATAACAATAAGTTAGAACAATAACATTAACATCATTTGATCATATGTCTCAATCATGTTAAAACATGTTCATCATCAAATTTGACCTAACCTAGGTTGAATTAATTCAATACCAATAGTTTAGATGAAAAGAGCATAAAAAATCACCGAAGAAGGTGCTCTCCAATGATTTCAATGGCCTCCAAAAGCCCTAAAATTGCAGTAAAATGTCACTTTCAGGTCTTGGTAGCCGAACCCCTAAAATTTCCTCTTTTCTCTTATAAAGTAGTCAGAAAAACATGTCAGCAAAAAGCTGCAACGCGGACGCACAACCTTTTAACACGGGGGCATTGCATCTTCATTACTCCAACGCGAACACGTTACTTTATGACGTGGGCGCGTTAACAGGTAACATGTGTGCATTGACAGATAGCGCGGTGCACGAATTCAAGTGGTGAATGACATGCTTTTGTCTCTTTTTCTCTAGTTTTCCACACCAAGTGCTTTTCTCCTCTCAGAAGTACATTTCCACTTAAATACTTCTAACTTGCTCCATTCTTGTCAGAATTTAACATTTTTCTTACTAAATGACATGCACTAATAGCTCGTCATGAGAATGACATTCTCATACAGAGTTAGTCTTCTGATTATTCAAGAGCAGACTGCTAGCTAACAAGGTGCTAGTCTTCTGGTTTAATACTTAACAGAGCATTTGGTCTTCAAAAAAATAACATTCTCTTTAGAGGTGACATTACATACGTGTAAGAAGTGGTAAATAATACTAAAGTTGTCTTGGTTGTGACACATTATTGACTTAAAATCTATACAGTGTTTTAAATTTTATAATTGAAGTAATGCTTCTTACTGTATCATAATTTGTGTTAAACTTTACCCCTAATTCTCTCTTTTAATCCAAATTGCTTATGAAAAACAATTTTTACATAATATTACTCATTTTTGTCATTTGATTCTCCTTTATTTTTTCTCTGCTTAAAATTTCCATTCTAATATCTAATTTTATCGGTCCAACAAGCTTAATTTTTTTAACCCAACAAGTTTAAGTTTTTTATTTTAAATATTGTTATAAATAATATTAACTTAATTGTAATTTTGATGTTTTTATTTTATTTATTTTTAGTTTTAATCTTTCAGTTTTAAAATTTTTGTTTTTGGTCTCTCTATTTAAATTTTTTTCAGGAGTTTAATCCCTCTTCTAATTTTTGATCAAATTTTAGTGACATAAAAATCCACTTGATAATGTGTCACAAACACATTGCAACAATTATTTCTATGTCATTTTTTATTATTTATTATCTAATAATTTATAATTAATTTTATTTAATAATAACATAAATTATTATATTTATAAAAATTAAAATAAAATAAATTACAATTTAATTTTAATTATTTCTTTTCTTAATATATTTTGTAATTATATATTATTTCTTAGAAAGTTTGAAGAATTAGTAATTAGTAACTTAATATTAATTAAATATTATTTTTTAGAAAATTTGAAGAATTAGTAACTTAATATTAAAATATTAAAGCATAGAGGTATCGAACCTCTAGCCTTTAGGAGCCAACAGAGCCTCTGAAGCTTGTTTGAAAATTTCTAGCAATAGAAATATATATAAGTTGAATACGTATCAAGAGATTAGGAGATGTTAGTTTGTGGGCTTGCAATTTAATCTTCTTTTTTTCAAACTTTAGCTTAATCAATTTTTTAATATGATTGTTAGATTGACGTTACACTTTTTGCATAATAACTAACATGTTGTCTAAATTTAACAAATAAATGATAAATGATAATGGTGATGAATTATATCCAGTGAAACTTTATTAATATTTGCTTAACTATAACTTGATTAGAAAATTATTAAACAGCTTTAGTAAATACCATCCAGCATGCCATAACATCATTGGAGAGATTGTTGGAAGGCTATAACCTTCAAGATGACATTTATAATTTGTTGAATTTAATATAATATTGTTATTTCGTTACTGTTGTGTATGATATATGGAACCAAAATTGTGAAAATTAAAACAACATAACAAATATAATAACAAATAATAAATTTATCAAAAGATTTCAAATAACATTGTTATATATACCTCAAGCATAAATTCAGCGAAGATACTACCACCTAGAGGTTTAGAAATTAATCCTCCTTTACTTTTTAAATATCATTTTAACATAAATTTTTTCAATTAAGATAATTAATTGTTAGAGTTATTTTTTTTATTATATCTCATTTATTTTTTCTTTCTAAATAAATTAAATATACATTCTATCTCTTTTTCCAATAATTAATAGAAAAGATAATTAATTTTATAAAAAATATGAAGCCAAATTATTTAAAAAGTAAATATAATTAATAAATTATAATATTAATTATAAAAATGATATTTAAATGGAAAAAAATTATTCTAAAATGATATTTAAAAAGAAATCGAGAGAGTAATAAATTATTAGTTTTTATTGAAGTGTTATATTAATTTATTGCTACAAGCACAAAAACTTTCGGTGGTTTTGATGGTCTGTAGCTCGCCCAAGCATTCTATGGAAGCGATTTGACACTTGTGTTGCAAAGTTTTAATTTTAATTTTTTATAATAATTTATTTTATTATTAAATAAAATTAATGATAAATTATTAAACAATAAATATTAAAAAATGACGTAAAAATAATCGTTTTATACGTGGAAGTGACGTATCATTAAATGGATTGCTATGTCACTAAAATTTGACCAAAAATTAAGAGGAGTATTAAAATCGTGAAAATACCTACCTAAATAAAAGGATAAAAAATTTAAATTTTAAAATGGGAAAATAAAAAAAAATGAAAATAGAAAACCAAAATCTATAATATAGGAACACAAATAGCTCTGGGTTATTATTTTTCTAACCTTTGCTTTGGTTTTGCCACATCATTATTTTGAGGTTAAATTTGGTCTAAACAAAACTTATTTCAACCAATTTGATGTATCCAACTCTAACTATCTGATTCATTTACAATGTATATCTGGTTTTTAAATGATAATTTCTTTCTAAATTTAGTGCATTTCTTTTAGAAGTCTGTTAGATATTTTCGAAAATGCATATTTAAAAATATTTTTGGACAGAATAAAATTTCAACATGATTCATAGCATTCATTCAACATAATTCAAAAAAGTTACATAAATAATTATATAGAAAATTAAAGTTACATATTGTTATAAATTGATAGTTGAGGACAGCGCAACATCTTGATAACATCTTCTGTCAATTTTTGAAGCTTCACATTCATCTCAATCGGATCTTTAGAAGAGTATTGTTGAAAGGTATCCTACACAACCTTTAAATTGTCGTCGTTCTTGAACTCAAACAGAATGAATTTAATGTTTCCTTCATAGTCAATATATATATATATATATATATATATATATATATATATATATATATATATATATATATATATATATATATATATAGAGAGAGAGAGAGATTTTTATTCACATATTTTTATAAATGATATGAAAATACGGGAAAAAAATTTCTGATTAATTCAACTAATTTTATAAACAATATTATTTTATTAATAGAAAAGTTTTATTTTTATTATATCTTTAATTTATATATAAATGCACGTAACAAATCAACATCCATGCGTATACACGGTAATTTTATTAACTTCAATTAAGCCAACAATATTCCTTTTCCAAATATAACACTCAATTCCAACTACCATATTTGACCTACGGAGATAGTTTTTATACTAGTTTTTAAATATATATTCCTTTTCGGAAATGAGTTGTTATATCTAGTCCTTATAGACTATAATATTAACGTCAAGAATAAAAATATATAATATTGTGTAGTGACCTGTATGTTAGTATTACAAATATAATAACGAAGCAACCAGGAAATAAAACTTTTTAAGTCTTTCTCTCCTGTACATTAACCATTCACTTCCCCTTCTTGAGCTTACTTAGTTCAACTCGTTACTCAGAATGACCGATTCTCTTTCCAGGTTCTTTCCATTTCGATTTCCTTCACTTATGTTGTATTCTAGTGATTATAAGATGCAATTAGTTAATCTTGTTTTGCTTTTCCTAATTCTTAAACTAGTTGAAAATGGTGTTTGTTATAGCTATCTTCATCCAGATTATGCCGAGATAGTTGTGGTTCGTCATGGTCAAACAATTTGGAACGCTGAAAGAAAAGTTCAAGTATGAGTGATAACGTGATGAAAATTTGTTTTGGTTTTCCAATTTTCAATGTAATACATCTATCTATATATGTAAATTTAACAGGGACACTTGGATGTTGAATTGAATGAAGTTGGAAGAGATCAAGCTCGTGCAGTAAGTTGTTTTTCGTTGAAATCACTCATAATTTTATATACAAACCAAATTTGCTACTTACATTTGTTGAATTACTTGACAACTCCAATTTTGTTAAATTTTACAATGAAGGTGGCTGATAAACTATCTAGAGGACCAAAGATCTCCGCAATATATTCTTCTGACTTGCAACGCGCTTTCGAAACTGCCCAGATCATTGCTTCTAAATGTGGAGTACTAGAGGTTTGATATATCATGTTGCCTGAAATATTTAATGTAGAATTTGATTCATGTAACCGACCGATGTGAATTTTAGGTTGTTAAGGATTTTGACCTACGAGAAAGACACAAGGGAGATCTTCAAGGTCTTTCTCATCTTGAAATAGCAAAGACAAATCCCATCAGTTACAAGGCTATGATGTCCAAGAATGAAGAACAAGAAATCCCTGTAAGTACTGTGAATACACACACAACTATGACACACATGATTCATAAATACAAATTATGTGTAGGGTGGTGGAGAAAGTATTGCTCAACTGCTAGAACGTTGCAAATCTGCATTGTTGAGAATTGGGAAAAAATATAAAGGGGTGAGAGTTGTTGTTGTCTCGCATGGAGCATCCATCGAAATACTTTACAAGTGGGCTTGTGTAAATGGATATGAAGGGAAAATACACAATGCATCTATCAGTGTTTTTCATTTGTGTGATGACGATAAATTGAACTTGAAGGTGTGGGCTGATGTTAGTCATTTGACCCAAAATTGATTTCTAATCTTGAGGGTAATACAACTTTCTATTTTGCTGTAATGTGTTGCTTCCCATCCAAAGTTAATAAGGAATGGAGAGATTAGACAATTTTTATAAATTATGCTTTACCAAATATGTCTGAGTTTCCCATTATTCATGGTTTCAATTAAGTTCACCTGCCCACAATTTTAATGTCTATCTATTAATATTTATTTATATTATTATATAATAATTTTATGATGTCTTTAATATGTTTTCCTTTCAAAACTTTTAAGGTTAAAATATGTTTTTTTCTGCTTGGGCTTAGGTCTTTTTTTACCAAAAAAATGTATTTTATAATTTTATAATATCCACAACATTTTTATCTTCTTTTCTATTACTATTACTTACTATCTATTTATTTATTAATTTCTATTAATAAATTTAACTTTTTATTTATTTAACAATTTTTTTATACTTTTTTAAAGAAGCAAATCATCTATAATATAAGAAAATCACATCCGACTCAAAAAGTCAATTTTGTCATTTTGTTCCAAAATCATAATATATGGCTTCATGTGTGTGAGACAAATGAAATATTTATTCCAAATCTAAATTTTATTTCGAAAATGCTCCCTTTCTCCCTATTTCTTATTTCGTTCAACATAAACCGGCGGTTACAGAATACTCCATTTTCACTTCTCCTCATTCCACTACCTTTTTGCAGCGGTTACGTTTTTCTTCAATCATGCTTTAACCCTAATTTTCTCTAACTTATTCTCTATTTCTCTCAATCACTATATCATTTGTTTCCAATCGTTTACGGCGATTCTGATGGAGGATTACGGCAGCAACGATGATGATTATCGTTAGTCTGATCAAGAAGATTCTGATTGCGAATTATACGAAAATAATGATCAAAACTTTGAGTTACTCTTTTCCACTTCTCAGGTTTTTTCTTACGATTTCATTGATTTCCCCCCTTTTTTATTCATTAATTTTTTCTTTTTATTTGATACAGATGTTTTTTTTGTGATTGAGTGAGTGTTATTTTTTTAAGTTATGTTTGTAGTTTCTGAATATGTGTATTGAGTTGCTTTGGTTAATTAGTTTGTTGAATTTATCGTTTATGGGTGTTGATTTTATTGAAGAAATTTGAATTTTTTCTGTATGATTTATAATTGAGAATCTCTTTTTGCAACTGTTGTTGTAATTTTTGTGTGGTTTATATATAATCCGATTTCGAAGGGCTAATATTATATGTATTATTTGTAGGTGATTTCTCATACACTCATGTAAGCATCACCCTTTATCTTTTGTATACTTGCTTACAATTCTTTTGCCCGAAAGACTAATTATCGTTATTGAATACTGAGACAGAAATCCAGCCCGAATTCAACCTCTACAATGATTAGTTTTTAATGATTTTTATGAGGAAACTGTTGGTATATGGTAATATTTTTTCATTATTTACAGGATACTGTGTTGGAGCTTGAGATTAAGATGTTTTTCCTTTATTGTGGGAAAATGATAAAATCTATTTAATTGATTTTAACGAGTACAAAGTAGTTTTGTAGAGCCAACAACGAGGAAGGTAGGCTACACTCACGATAAACTAATGGTTAGAGGTTGGGTACAAAGGAAAATTGTAACTCAAAACCATTACAAGTGTTTTGGTTTAAATTGTCTATACTGTTAGCATATGTGATTATTGATTAAACATTATGTCATCGTCTGATTCATGTGGCCATTTTCATCTAATTGAAATATGTTTTTGTGTTTGTCATTGTCATATTTCTTATTCATGTGTTGAGATTATAGTCTTGCTCTTTCAAATTTGATGTGCTATCTAGCTTTGAACATTAGCATAAAGGGCAATATAAATGCTTTTTCAGGGTTTCTCTGTGTTCAATATAGATTTTTCAAACGCTATATTTCTGGGAGGGTGCTCAAAGTATGTGCTGAACTTTTTTGTTTGCATTTTAATAATTAATTATTACAGCTGAGGAAATAATTAATTATTGAAGTTAGGGTGCTTTTGGTTTTAATCAAACTAATTTTACTAGCTCTGTTGTTGCGGATAAATGGACGAAGTCATGTATGGTTTCTGGCTTGTATTTGTGCTTTTCTAATTTCTTGAGCTCATTGTATTATTGCTTACTCAGTGAGTTTTCCTTCTTAGTCTGTTATGGTTTTATATTGTTTTGGATGGAATTTGATTATGCTGTCTAATATGTTTTCAGAAAGTGTTTGGAGTTGTAACTCTTAAAAAAAACGCTCATGATGATTTTCGAAAACTCACATCTGCAATCTATCTTTAAGTGAGCAATAACATTTTACAGTGTGAGAAATCTATAACTTTCATATACTACAAAATGATAAATCAAAGTACATATGTTCGACTATCTGTACTGGTGAGATTATGCTAACCATAGTTTCAAGCTTTACATTCCTAATATTTTAGGTGTTTATTTGTTTTATTTAATAAAATTTGTTTACCACAGGTTGGCCGGGAGAAGCTTTCGGCTATCTGTTTGATGCAAAATTTTGTTCACCTGAAATCACTTGATAGTAAATTGAAGATAATAAATTTCAGTATGGGAGATACCAACGCAAACTACTTGTAGAGGATTTGGCTAAGAAATGGAAGCAAATAATATTGAATAACTCGGTATTATGTCTTACATGTTCTTCCTTCGGCATCGCCAATGTGCTTTGTTTATGAAGTTGACTTCAATTTCCTTTTCATATATAGTTCATTACACCATTGGAGCACTGTGAATGGCTAAATAAATTGTTGACAGAAATCTGGCCTAACAATTTTAACCCCAAGCTTTCATCAAGGTTAAAGTCTATAGTCGAGGTGAAACTCCATCGCCTCTGCTCCATTCTATTCGACATACTTTCCAGAAACCAAGACTTCTTGTAAGTAAAATTCGATATTTTTGGTTTTTCTATGACACTTTATTATTAGTATTTCAAAAATAGTTTGAACATTTCATAGATGTGTTGAACTGGAGAAATCCTTGTGTGTAGGAAAGATTGGGCATCTAGGCTTCCTTCGAGTAAGTTTGATTCATACTTCGATTGGGCATTTGGGCCTCCTTCGATGTAAGCTTTGATTTACATCCTTCGATTGAGCATTTGCCTTCTTCGAGCGAGCTTTGGTCCTCACGCTTCGATTGAGCATTTTGGGCCTCCTTCAATGCAAGCTTTGTGTTACATCCTTCGATTGAGTATCTAGCTTCTTTGGTCAAGATTTGGTCTATAAGTTTCATTTGGGCATTTGACCTCCTGCAGGTTTGCTTTGATGCACTATAATGGCTCTTGCCTGCAAGCTTCAATTGCACCATTGGCCCCTCACCTGTATGCCTTGGATTCACAAGTTTTTGATTGGATGAATGGCTACCTTCCTGTGACTTTTGATTTCATCTTCATGTTTGCTTCGAATGCGCCTTCATATCACCTTCGAATCCATTTGTAAACCCTTCAATACGCCTTAGTGCTGCATTATGACACACAACTTGGTGGCCCATTCGATGGACTTGCCATAGTTGGGGAATATTTGTTCTTGCTTACTTTGGAGTCTAGTCGAAGATTTGGGCCTAAGTGATCAAAAGCAAGAGGATTCAAAATGGCATGTTCAGTTGAAGAAGGACATTCGAAGAACACACAATTGGTCCATTCGAAGGACACATAACTGGTGGGAACGAATGTTGTTCTAGTCTGGTCGAAAGGTGTAGAAAGATGGAGGATTCGACTCAAAAGATCAAGTTAAACATTAGACCCATAGGCTAGGCTACATGTTTCCACTTTTCAGGCCTCAAACTTATGACTCACTCTTTATTTAATTGTTTATGCAAGTTGAAATAGGATTTAACCCATTTGCTGTCCAAGACCACTTGCCCTTAATAGTATAATACTACTTTTAAGAAAAAGTTTTTCTTGAGCCTTGCGCCTATTTTCCTTCTAAGGAAGCAACCCATATGGACCATCCATCTTGCTATCATGACACAAGTGGGTGCTTACTTTCCAGCTGAGCCTTTATTTTATTATTTTTACTCCCAAACATTTCAAAAGTTTTCCTCTATAAATAGAGAGTTCATTTGCACATCAGAAAAAAAGGGAGGAAGGAGAGGGGAACGTATCTTCAAAATTCTTACACACCATAAAATTCTTAAACACTTAAACACTTTTGCAAATCCAAACCCAGAATCCAAGTACTTGTCCCTCTCAAATCTGAAAAAAATCCTTACATCTTACTATCCTTCGAATCCAGCAAAGAAGGACATTTCACTTGTTTTGCTCTTTCGAATCCAGTGTCAAAGGCCCACCCTTGGTCTTTTCCTTCGAATTCAGAAGCATTCAAGGCAACCACTTCAAGGTCCAGCACACATTCCAGCCTCCAGCCAGGTAAGTCATTCTTAACCTTTGACCCTTCATTTCCAGCATAACATGTAAATAAGTTTTCTTTTCGTTTCAAACATGTACATACTATTTTCTTCTTTTCGTTTCCATCCTTTTAATATGTTTCATGGTTAACAACCTTATTGGTTTTTGCTCTTTGTACATTTAAACATGCTTTAAGAACTAATCTAGCCTTAAGGTGATGTTGGCATGGCCTTGGGCCATGTTGCTATTCAAACTCAAACGAAAGAAATAGGAGACAGAAAGTTAGAAACGAAGCCTTTGGCTTCCATACTAACCTTCAGACCAAACGAAAGAGGCATCCAAAAGGCATAACATGTTGGCCTCCAGGCCCCAAATGAAAGGCACAACATGCTGGCCTCCAGGTCCCAAATGAAAGGCATAACATGCTGGCCTCCAGGTCCCAATCGAAAGACATAACATGCTGGCCTCCAGGCCCCAATCGAAAGCCATGCCTTCACCCCTTTTCAGGCCCCAATCGAAAGCCATGCCTTCACCCCTTTTCAGGCCAAGTCGAAGAGATCCTGAAAGTGCATAATTAAAGGGTTTGCTACCCTAAATCGAAAGATCCACTTTTCTTGCATTTTACCTTATTTTTGCCTTTATATTTTCATGCAATTCAATATGGTTGTAATAGTGTAGGATTTTATGTTTCTTCACTTTTGACTTTATGCAAAATGTTAGTAATTAGGGTGTATGGCAAGATAAAATCAACAAGTAGATCACCCTGATCAAAAGACAAAAAAGCATGCAATCAAACACACTTTGCACAATTGCACATCTAGGGTTAACTCCACCTGTTGCCTTATGAAAAACAGTCATGTTATGCATGTGAGACGTCTTAGTAAAAACAATAAAAAATACAAGATCATAGTCCCTCGATGACGCTTCGAATGTTGCCTTACAAATGATCTTAGTCCCTCAAAAGAAATGCTAATATATCTCACAATATTGCTATCATGACTATACGATGACCCACGCCCGTCCCTTTTATATCCAAAGATAAGGCTTCTTACTAATCAATGGTAAGATAGCAATATCAAAGGAAGAGAGGAATGAACAAAAGACTTTTAAGTAAGGTAGAATGTTCCTAGTTGCTTGCTCATTTTCAAAGCACAAACACCTTTTTAAATGCACCAACACTTTCCATTGAAATATTTTCAAAAGTTTAAACACTTTGTATATATTATTATAGAGACGAGAATCATTACAAAGTTTTCCTAAACGAAGGCGCTTTTCAAAAATACTTTCAAAAAAACCCACCACAAAGCACACTTTCAAACAAAAGCAATGATCTAGCAAGCAACTAAGAGCCCATAGATAACTATGGATGAAAAGAGTGCTAACACCTTCCCTTTTCATAATCTACCCCCTGAACTCAAGAAAATAATCTCAAAGGTCTTTCCTGTTCTTTTCACCCTTTCCTTTATTGGATAAAAGAAAAGACGACGGCGACTCTTTCTATCTGCAACAACTGCGATCAAACGCAAAACATCCCAAGTCAGTTCTCCCACCATATTACAGAATTGGCGACTCTGCTGGGGACTAGAATTAAAAGTGGGGTTACCTTAGGGCTAAATCACCTTTACTTGCTTTTCTTTGTTTGACTTGTTTGTTTTACATTTTTTGTTCCTTGTTTGGGCTTGTTTTGATCCTCTATCCGGATCTGGGACGCCTTTTTAGGTAAGTAGTAATAGATTGTGGAAACTGTACGGCGTAGATCGATATGGTTGAAATAATGGCTACGTTAGTGTGATGCATTTGTTGATACCGGTATCCCTTGTGTTGAATCGAGGAGTATACGGGGCCGCTGAGCAGCGTCATGAAGCACTAACTAACCCTAGAACCTTAATTGAACAACTTGGCCATTAGGAAGTAGTGAGATAGCCGGTTTCAGTGGAAAGTTGAAAATTGGTTGATACTCGATACTACACTCATTGAGATTGGATTTTTGGGATATCTCGGTCGTAAGAAAAGATTGATTGTGCTGAGACAATGCCTAATGGAAAGGTCAGTGATATTGAGATCCCTTAGAACCTGGTTACTTTCTAGGACAGGTTAAGTCAACTAAACTTCAACAGAGTACTTACCTATCAAACTCCCTGCAAGCCTAAACCCAAGGACTTGTCTGCTTTGTGTGTACATAACAACTTTCTTATTTGTGCATAACATCATAAACATCATAACATCATAAGCATTCTCACTAACCATTTCAAGGATTTAGGAATTTATCTTTGTTTTGTTTTGTAGGCCATGAATCCTGTTCGAAGGAATACCATCCGAATCAGCTTCGTGAAAGCACACCCTCAACTCCAAGAATTAGCATCAAGGGTGCCTTAAGACTCTCCTTTCACCAAGAAATATGGTCGACTCCTCAGTTTGGATACCTCCAATTTCCAAGAAGAGATGATGTGCATGCTCTTACAATTCTTTGATCTCAAGCATCATTACTTTACCTTCCCTGACTATCAGTTGGTGCCAACACTAGAAGAATTATATCTACTATTAGGAGTGCACGTGCTTGATCAAGCACCATTCATCGGTTTAGAAGGGATTCTAAAACCTAAAGTCATTGTCGAAGCCTTACATCTGAAGAGAGCTGACATTATAGCAAATTGGGAGACAAGAAGCAGAGTTAAAGGGTTCCTAGCCAAGTTCTTATTGGAGAAGGCTCGTTCATCCTGGGAAGATATGGATTTTCAAGCCTTTAAAGATATCTTGGCCCTTCTCATCTATGGTTTGGTTCTATTTCCCAACTCGGACAAATTCATAGATGTGAATGCCATCAAAGTCTTTCTCTCTCGTAATCCTGTACCTACCTTGCTAGGAGACATCTTGCATTGCTTCCATACCCGCACTACGAAGAAAAGAGGTACTATCTTGTGTTGCATTCCCCTGCTCTCCAAGTGGTTTACTTCACACCTACCTCGATCAACATTGAAGAACGAGCAAAGATTGACATGGTCTCAAAGGATGATGTCCCCCACCCACTCTGACATTCATTGGTGTTCAAGATCCTTGGCGGATACCTCTATCATTGACCGTTGTGGGGAACTCCCTAATGTCCCCCTGCTTGGCATTAGAGGAGGTATCACTTACAACCCTTGCTTAGCTTTGTGACAGTTTGGGTATGCCCGAAGAGATGGTCCTCATGATATGCTCATCCAAGGGATGGTGTTGAATTACGAAAGCGACGATCAAGGCTACCATCAGAGGTTTGTACAAGCTTGGAGGATGGTAAACATAGTAGATAGTAAGACGTTGGGACGCAAGAATTCTATTCCCTTTGAACCTTACCTTAGGTGGGTACGAGCTCGTGCTCAGAAGACCATGATGCCTTACCCCTCCATCCTACCAGTTATCATGGAGCTCGTTGCTGAAGGAGAAGTCCCATATATTTTCCTCCATCCCAACATGCCTATTTCTCTTGAAGACTTACAAACGGGTTGGATTCAACTAAAGGAAGAGCGATATACCTTCGAAGCTCGTTTTTATGCGAGTGAGAAAAGGGTTTTAGAGCTTACAAAGCAACTACATGAAGAACAGAGCTTGAACACCTACCTTGCACCAAAGAGGAAGCATTCAACCTTTTTATCTTAGGAATTTATTTTGTAAGCCCAAGAGACACGTTGTAACCATTTTGAACTGATTAATTCAATTTCACGTTTGTTCATTTCTTTGTCTAGACAAATTTAAATTTTATAAATCCTTGAAATTATCTGCATACACATTTTTCATGCATCATAATATAACAGGTTTTCCATGACAGGTTTTCTTATCCCTCTACTGTTTATTTCAGTAAGATGGATATCGAGAAAACATTTAAAGATCTGCAAGCACAAAACTCCCAGTTTCAAGAAACTCTGTTGACCCTGGCCAAGGGGCAACAAGAGTTGATGAAATTGCTGGCATCCAAAAAGAAACCAAAAAGGAAAGCCCTAGTCAACATGGGTAAAATATTCAGAGAGTCGACCTGCCAGATACCAATAGTTGAAGATTCGTCTGAGGAAGACGAAAATCAAGTTGGAGAAGCAAGGAGTACCCAGGCTGGGTGTGTCAATGAGTGAGTGTCTGATGATGAAGACTATTTTTACGAGCAATATCCCCCTGCCGATGACAAGTACAAACAGCTAGAGGATAGATTGAAGGTTGTTGAGATTCAAGCCATTCCTGGTTTGGATTTTGATGATTTGGGTTAAATATCTGGGGTTGTCATTCCCCATAAATTCAAGATACCAGTCTTCATTAAATATGATGGGGTTTCCTACCCAAAGCTTCATCTGAAGTCTTATGTGCACAAAATACAACCGCACACCACCGACAAGAAGATTCAAAATTTGACAAGGCAATTGGAGAATGAGAAGATCCTCAACGACTATGTCCGCACCGACATGAAATGACCATGTGAGCGCTGACTGTCTTTTGATTATTTCTAGTTTTGCTTTACTTTTCAATTTTTCTTTCTTGTAACGCCTTAAAGGAATTTGTTAAACAATTGAATTCAAAGTTTATCTAATAAAAGTGTGTTTCATGTTGGTTTACGAATTTGAATCCCTAAAATCTTTGAAATCATATAATATGTATATCATTCCCATGCACCTCATAACAGGTACCCTTACAGGTTTTTCTCATCTTCTTCGTTGTTTATTTCAGCATCATGTCTTCTGAAACATCAACTGAACAAGCCATCAAGGCTCTGCAAGCTCAAAACGCCCAGTTCCAGGAATTGTTCATGAGTTTGGCTAAGGGCCAGCAAGATCTGAAGACCCTTATCCTGAAAGATAAGAAGAAGAAGAAGAAGAAGACGGTCCTACTGAATATGGGTCGCAAATTTGGAAACAATTTGCGAGAAGAGGTTAATTTGACTCACTCATCTGGAGGGGGAGATAATCAGGAAGAAAGGAGGGCTCCTAGCCCTGTGGTTTCAGACAACGAGATTGACTTTGACGAAGACCAGTATCCTCCGGTCGAGGATAGATATAAGCAACTGGAAGACCGGTTGAGCGCGGTGGAAGTTCAGAAAGTGCCTGGTCTGGACTTTGGAGATTTGGGTCTGTCATCTGGGGTGGTAATTCCTCACAAGTTTAAAGAACCAATCTTTGCTAAATACGACAGGGTTTCTTGCCCAAAACTGCACCTCTGCTCGTATGTTAGAAAGATCCAGCCATACACCGCTGACAAGAACCTCTGGATCCACTTCTTTCAAGACAATCTCTCAGGGACTCAACTTGAGTGGTTTTACCAGCTGGAAGGAGCTAGTATCAGTTATTGGGAGGATTTGGCTGCTGCTTTCTATAAGCAGTACCAATACAATGCCGACCTCACTCCTACGCGTACCCAACTTCAGGGTATGTCTATGGGTGCAGGCGAAGGTTTCAAAGACTACGCTCAGAAGTGGAAGGACCTTGCTGGAAGAGTTTAACCTCCCTTGGCGGATTGGGAGCTAGTGGATATGTTTCTGGGGACCTTGTCTGGTCCGTATTTCAACCATCTGATTAGAAGTTCATCGTCCGGGTTTACAGAGCTGATTATGACCGGGGAAAGAATTGAGGCTGGTATCAAATCTGGCAAGATACAGAAGGGTGCTTCGTCAGGCACCGAGAAGAAGCCTTTTAAGAAGGAGTCCAGTGCTGTTTACAGCTCAAAAAGCCATAATAGACCTGAACGCCGCCAAGCAGTTAATGCGATGGTTATATCAAGACCCGCTGTTGCTCCTCAGCGCAACAATCATCCAAGGGCCGAGAGGCCACGAAGACAATTCACTCAGCTCAACATGACTTTATCCCAAATTCTGCCGCAGTTATTAAAGACCAACTTGGTGATTCCGAAGGAGGCCCCGAAGAATCCCAACATAACATCACCGATGTATAATCCAAACGCCCACTGTGCTTTTCACTCCGATAGCCCGGGGCACGATACAAATGATTGTTGGGTTTTGAAGAATAAGGTACAGGACTTGATTGATGCTAAGGAGATTGAGTTCGAAGCACCTGAAAGACCTAATGTTGTGACTGCTCCTATGCCCAAGCATGGAGTAAATGCTATAGATGAAGACTCGTTTGTGGTTTATGTGAAAGACATTGTTACTCCATTGATGACTGTGAAGAAGAACCTTCTGTTAGCCGGTTTATTTCCGGGCTATGACGAAGGTTGCCGTATGTGTTCCGTCCTACCTACCGGTTGCCATCTTTTAAAGTCAGGTGTGCAACGCCTGATGGATAATAAAGAAATTCTGTTTGAGAAGACTTTTGTTCCTTTGGTTCCTACTGAAGAAGTTGCTATAATCACCATTTTCGACAATTCTTCCAAGGATTCCTCGAGAAAGCCTGTTAGAATTACACCCGTTCCAAGAATTGCACCGTTGATCATCACCATTCCTGGGCCTATCCCCTATACATCAAATAAAGCTGTCCCTTGGCACTACGGGGCTGACGTATATTATCACAGAGTTAAACAAGATTTAAATGCTGATACTGACGTCAGCAATATTGTTGGATCTAGTAAAGTCACCCGCAGCGGAAGACTTTTCTCCCCTGAGATCTCCCCACCAACCATTCGGAAGCATGTTGTTATTACACCTACCAGTACACCTGTTACTGTCCCTGTTCAAGTTCCAATTCTTACCCCTATTGCCGAGTCATCTGACGCTCGGGGCAAAGGGATCACCGGTGAGCCTGCCCAGACGGAGGCACCGAAGACGATTACTGTTGAAGCCTCTAGACAAGAGATAGAGGAAATTCTGAAGATCATAAAAAAGAGAGACTACAATGTAGTCGAGCAGCTGGGGCAAACCCCGTCCAAAATCTTTATGTTGTCTTTATTGCTCTGCTCAGAAGCCCATGCCAAGGCTCTGATTGCTTTACTGAAGACTGCGCACGTACCCCAGGAAACATTTGCAGACCAGTTTAAAGATTGCGTGGCTAGTCTGACAGCAGATAACGGGTTGGGTTTCTCCAACGCCGACTTGACTGCTAAAGGGAAGAATCAAAATGACGCCCTGCATGTCTCCATTGAATGCATGGGCACTACTCTTGCTCACGTATTGGTGGATATTGGGTCATCGCTGAATGTTTTACCTAAGAAAGCTCTAGACCGGTTAGACTGTGAAGGGTTGGAGCTGAAACCAAGAAACATTGTAGTTAGGGCTTTTGATGGGTCCAAGAGAATGGTACACGGAGAAGTGGATATTCCGATTAAGGTTGGTTCTCAGGTTTTGGCATCTACATTCTATGTGATGGACATTCGGCCATCTTACTCTTGTTTGCTGGGTCGCCCGTGGATCCACAAAGCTGGGGCAGTAACGTCTACGCTCCACCAGATGCTGAAATACCCGGTCAAAGGGAAAATTGTTACGGTACGAGGAGAGGAGGAGTACATGGTGAGCCACCTCAACTCTTTCTAATATGTAGAGATGGAGGGGGAGTTAATTGAGACCCCGCTCCAGCATTTTGAAGAGGTTCCCCAGATGCTGGAATCAACTGAAACTGTTATCGAAGATCCTCCAATGAAGATGGCTTCCTTCAAGGATGCCTGGGCTGTTGTTGAGAAAGATGGGTGTGCAAATTGGGGCCAACTCCCTGATTTTGCACATAAGACTAACAAGTTTGGTTTGGGTTTCACTGCAGAAGCTCAAAGGGCTGTTCGGAGTGCACGGATCGGAAGACCTCCCCTGTTTATCAACAATTCAGGAGTGAATGCCATTGAAGACGATGTGGAAGAGTCTGAGTTTGACAGTTGGATCTACCCCACTGCCAATGGTGGATTAAGAAATTGGACGGCAAAAGACTTCGTCCCAATTTCTTTTATTACCTAGTAATGAGACTTTTGTTTTGAATTTGTAACAGACAATTTTTAAACTTTACGGCCCGGTGTCTTACCCGAGGCACCGTGGTTTTGTTTGTGAGGGCTTTATGTGTGTCATCTACATATATCATTAATAAAAGCATTGGACGTTTCTTGCATTTCAAATTTTGCGCTCCTCGTTTTTCTTTTATTATATATTGCAAAACAGCTATTTTACACACACTCACATATACAGGTCTACATCCACTCTGGATCCTACTGGTAACGACTCTGCTACTTCCAGTTATGACTTCGAAAGTCCGATCAACTTAGCCTAAGACAAAGGTGAAGATGATTGCGAAGTGCCTGGTGAACTTGCTAGACTGTTACTTCAGGAAGAGAGGGCCATACAGCCGCATGAGGAGCCCGTGGAAACAGTAAATCTGGGTACGGAAGAAGACAAGAAAGAGGTCAAGATCGGTGCAAATCTGGAGCTTAGTGTGAAGCAATGGTTGATTCAGATGCTGCGTGACTATGTTGAGATCTTTGCCCGGTCCTAAATTTGACACCCTTGTTTGTTATCATATAGACCATTGATTATGAGTCAGAAGGTTTCCTACATAAGGAGGCTTCGACCAACTGATCATGTCGAAGGGTCATCAAAGAATGACAAGATACTTAGAGAAATTCCTTTAAGTTGGAATCTTGTTGTCTTCGACGTCGAAGGAACCTCTCGACAAAGGTCCTTGATGCCCAAGGTCGAACAGTTTGAGGTTTGAATTGTTGGAGGGAAAACGGTTCCCAGCAGTTGCCAAGTG